CAATCATGGCCTCCTAATAATCCGCATCCATTGAATTGGCTCTATCACTCTCTCTCCTCTCCACCTGTAGCTGGTGTGTGGTGAGCGCACTGGCGCCGTTGTGCTGTGGCTGCCGCCGCATCTTCCAAGTGGATGCTGCACACTGGTGGTGGTTTGAGGAGAGACCCCCCCACATGCTTGTAAAGCGCTTTGGGTGTACGGCAATACACAAAATAGCGCTATATAAATGCCTCATTCATTCATTCATTCATTCATTCAATTCTGATTGGAAACGGAGATGGAGGAGCCCTCTCCTCTCTAACCTCTGACAGTTCATGGAATGCAGTTTCACACTTGGCTACAAATTATTGAGATAAGTCTGAAGCAATGCTCTCCTTATGCAACTCCTGTCTTGGGGAATTATTGTTATTGACCTTTTCATGGGACAAAACCAGGACATCTATCTTCCCTTTTACCTCTATCACCAAAAGGGGATCTGAAGCCTACAGTAAGTACATTGTTGAGTCTCTAAATTTCTCACATATTTTAAAAATAAAACAAAGTAAAACAAAACTAAAAACTATAAACTTTATTGAAATCTAAATTTAATTAAAATGAATAAAACAGATTTAATAAAATATATTTCATATTCTTTTGTGGATTGGCTAATATTTCATTCATTGTTTAAATCATTTACTGTTAATCTCTTTAACATTCTTCTGCCGGGAAACTATGTTTAATTCAGAATTCATATTTAGAAATTCAATTTCAAAAGTGTCTTATTTTGTGTTCCACAAAAGTATTGAAGAAAGTCAAATGGGTGTGTAACAACATTAGAATAAAAAAAAAAAAGATTGCATAATTGTCAGAACTTTTCCTTTACATTTGGCATTTGATACAGATTAAGCACCTGCTATTTATCACAATTATTCCCACGAAATACAAAAAATGCAGTAGTTAATTAAATCCATTGTAATATAGCAAAATAGGTTGCATTCTATTTGTTTGACCTTGTTTGTATTTCCTTGCATTTGCTTGAGTACGTGCAATAGGTGAAAGGACTGTGATTACTGCGATGCCGCACACATCCGCTTTATACTCATATAATTAGCCTGGTGAGAGGAAACAAACCCCGCCTTTGAATAGGCTACCGGTAACCATTGTCGAGTTTATAAAAATTCCTAATCCGAATAACCCTGGCAGTCCATGACGAGATTTTCCGAGCACACCATCTGCTGTTTGTGATTTGCAGCGGCACCAGACTGAATAAAGTGCGCGCACTAGTTTATTCCCGCGTATCCAGCGCGCTCCATATACTCTCGCGCTGGCGGATGAATTCGTGCTGTGCGTGCTGCGGCTCTTGTCACTCATTCGCTGTGCTGCTCGGAGCGCATTCAGTGTCAACGGCTAAGGACCAATTCATGATATTACAGCAACCTGAAACAGGGGCAAAGCATCGTAGTCGTTTAGATAATAACTGAACCAACTCTACCTATTCTACACGGAGCATACCTTTGGAAGAGATTGCAATGCTTCAGATAAGGGATCTCATTTGGACATTGCTTTTCTTTGGTTATGCAGGTAAGATGCACTTGTATCAGTTGCACTGTGTTACTGTATCCGTTCGCATCCTTGTTTGTCCTGGCGCGTTGGCTTCACAGCACAGAAGCAGCTACAGCGCGCTTGAGGATGAGGATGCGAGTTCGAGCTGGTTCATTCAGTGATAGAGCTTTACAAACTGCCTCGGTTTATATCTAGCCGTCCTTTTCATTAAAACAAACTCTGTTATTTTCAACCCTGCCAAATTGGCACACGTTGCCAAACTGGCTCCAGTTAGGTGGGATATGAAGTCTCGCATCCCTGTGTAAAAACAAACCGTACATTTATGAGTGATTCTTGAAATTTTAAGAGCGCGAAATCGCGTTGTTTATGGTTGTGTGGACATAACTGCGTATTGGCTCCTTTGAGATTTGTGTTGGGAGACAAGAAAAACAACCATCTGGTGTGTTGTGTAAAACAACACGGCCAGCTAAGCCGTCACAATAACCAGCCCCAAAGTTTATTGTGGGGTGTTTCGTTTATTGTGTGTGTTCTCATCCTTGTGTTCATATTCGGGATGGTCACGGCGGTGCTGAAGCGCAGCTGGGAGCGCTCGTGTTGAACGACTGGAACATCTCTGCATTACCCTTGAATTAGTTTATCCTTGTGACTGTTTGAGTAGCAATAGTTCAACGAGAAATGAAAAATAACCTCATTTATTCACCTTTATTTTATTTTATTTTACTTACTTTCTTTAAGAAGGAGATGTTGTCAGAGTGATAGACACTATTCACTCTCGTTGTATGGAAAGAGATGCAATGGAAGTGAACGGTGACGAAAGGCTGTCTGTCTCTAACCTTTTGCCTCTCCTTTTGAGTCCCACAAAAGTAAGGTTAAGAACAACACGTATGTGCGTATATGGCTGAACTGTCTTTTTAAAGACCGAAGTTACCCTTCTCATGCATGTATAACGAATATCCAGGCTGTTTATAAGCAGATCAGGCAGCCAATTAAAAAACTAAGCAAAAGTGTGATTTATGAGGGCGATGCGTAGGCTATATAAGAATGATAAATGGAACTGTTCCAAAAATGTTTCGTGTGATTATTGAAATGATTCGAATGCATGGTTGATCATTTCCAGCCAATCAGAGAGTAAGGCTTGGGCGGAAATGAATTATATTCTGTCACCCCCTCTCGCCCTCCCCCTCCCATCCTCCCCCACCTCTTTCTCGTGGCAAAACAGAAGCTTTACATTGCCAACGCATTAACATTATATACATGCATATTTGCAAACATATACACAGCATTTAAAGGTGTCTAGGATAAAAATGTGTTAACAGGTTTTTGTTAATAGGTTTTCAATGAGATCAACATATTGTATACACACAACTGCAGTGGTTTAGACAAATATGTAATATAGATATTACTATGTATATATATGTATGCATTTGTGTATGTGTTTATATATGTACTGTATGCACATTATGGATATATACTGGACTCAGACTGTATATTATATTTACACACAAGTGCTTGGTGAAATGGAGTGGTGTTGTAAAGTAATAGCTGTTAGTGGTTCTAATCTGTATGTGTGATGCAGAGGGATGATGTTATTTTCCAGTCGGTGGTCCTGTCCCACTGGTTGCCCTTTTGTCGTGGCAGGACTTCACTAACCTTGCAGCTGGTGTGAGCAGGTTTGAGGTTCCTCCTAGCAGGTGTGGGAGTTTTTGTCCTGGTGTGTTTGGCAGGTTATAGAAGGCGTCCTTAATTTGTGTGTAATTAGGGCAGGATGTTAAAAAGTGCACTTGTGTGAGTTCGTAAATGTGTCCTATTTAAAGAATGATGGAGTTTGTGAATTTATCATTAATGTCTAGTGTGTTTGCTTTTATTCACTAAAGTTATTGTTCGATGAAATCTTTGGAAGTTTATGTTATCTTCATCCAATCAAAGTATTTTCGGGAGTTATGTATGACCTTATATGGATAGGAAAAAAATATATTTTTTGATTATTAGGTGTAAGTAAGATGTGCTTATGTGTAATGTCTAGCTGTCTAATGTCTAGGGGCAGTTTCAGTTTCTCACCTGAGCATCAGCACAGTGTAGATGTGTAAAAGAGGAAGTACATGAAGTACACCTATTTGAGAGATAAAAAGACAGAGAGTGAAGCCTTGAAATAATATTAACAGTTTTAGAGCATGTGGGGGTTAAAACAATGCTTTTGAGGTGTAACGGTACAGAGCACCTGCATTTTAATTCTCTTTTGCGCTCTCTCTCACCACCACTCCTTATCTCTATATATCACTAAAGTGATTGTTATAGTGTAGAGGCACATACTGCTGTATGGTGCTGACATGTTGATGTTGACAGAGAGCTGTTTGTGTGTGCTGAATACAGATAAATAGCCATATCCCCACATCACAAATGTAACTGCTTTTCTTAGCATTATTGTTATTTTTATATATTGTTATATATTAGCATGGTAACTGTAACGGTAAAAAAGTGAGGTGTTTTTGTGGTGTTTGAATTTAACTATAATTTAGTGCTTTTATGTGCAGTCATTCAATATTTTTAAATTGATTAAAAATGTTAGAATTGTAACATTTTCTTATATTTGAACTTTACATTTAATAACAAGCTCAGTATTTCAGGTGCAGTTTACCATTATAAGTGCTTTTGTTTGTTGTGCTTTTGTTGTTGTACAATTAAATCAACAGATTTTGACTTATGACACTATGACACTATGACTTATGGCACATAAATAAATGACAGGCTCTTTCCTGTTATTTATTTATTTTTATTCCCAGAGAATGTATGCCTCCTGAATAGTTATGTGTTATAATAGAATGAATTTATCACAACTTTAATGTCTCATTAAAATTAACCAGATATTTTATCTCTACTGGTAAAGGGTCCACCTCTGAACCGTTCCTCTCAGAAAAAAAGATTCAGAGTCCTTACAGTAAACTGTAACCAACAGAGCACTCAGTATTCTGGGAAGTTTGTGTGCATTGGGAATCATATTTTTTTCAAATAAAGCCAAGGTAACATACAGCACACAGTGAAAATGACATGAATATGACAGTGGGCAAATGCATAAAGGTCAGCATAATTTGAAATCACGAGATGCCGATATTTGAAAAATGCCAAATATTGGCCGATATCGGCCTTGGCGATATATCGGTCGACCACTAATTATTACAGAGTGAATTTTATAATGGTATTGCTTTACTAAGACTGATGCCAATAAAAACATAAGTGTCAGATCAGAGCTGAAAGGAATTGTGATCTGGTAGAGAGATTTGCCCCCATGCTGTAGGATTGCTGGATGGTTCACCAGATAAAAACATTTTAATGCTTTCATGCTGTACTGTTCACACTGGGACTCCTTGTAAAAATGTATTAATTTTATTTTGTGCAAGCTGACTGAAATCCAATCGTCCCAAATGTTCTCCAGTTGTTTTCCATTTTGTGATGTTTGATAAAGATGGGTCGTCTATGCATGGTAATCACTCTCTGAAAGGGGGCTCAGACTGATTTGCATTGTGTAAGCTCTCAAGGCGTCCTGTAGAGTGTTGGAGGGGGAAAAAAGGAGGGAAATGGGTTTGGTTTTGTCATGCTGAAAAGCCACCCCCTGATCCCTGCAACCCATCTCTGAAAGGATTTCTCCTAATTCAAGTAGAAGGGCCTCCTAAAGTCGCAGGCCGAGTGGCAACTTCGAGAAGTGTAAACATTGTCTTACACCCCCCACATTTAAACCAGAAACACAACTCTCTGCCTCTCTTCCTCTTTGCCTTGCTGTCTCGTAGAAAGTTAAAATGTGTAATTTCTGGCACCAAACAGAATTGGAAAAAATAATGACTGTTTTCAGACAACTTACAAACACTCTGCCCACTTGCTACTGCTCAAACAAATAATGCTTCAAACTCAACCCATTGGTTGATTCAATCAGTACATTTACATGCACAGTTCTAATCAAGGTCTTTGGTTTTTTTAGACTTGATGCAATTTTCAGTGTACATCTTTGAAGCACTACATACAGAAGTAAAGTGCTCAGAACTGAGCAAAGATGACAGATTTCAAATCGCATACTTCCAGGGAAGCCTGGGTTAGCCGAGAAACTGCCATTGAGATGAATGGGAATGCTAATGTATGGCTTTCTCCAAGTATTATAGACCTCTGACTCAAACAAAAAGATTGCAGTTCCCATTGGTGTCTACAGGGGCACATAAATTACACCCTTCACCTTTAAGGTGCAGCTTGAAAGTCCCTTAATCCCATTGAATGACTCATCTGTTATGTTGTAATGTGTAGCAATGGTTGTGACATCATCCAACAGTTACTAGGTTATAATAATATAGACTACTGTGTTTGAATGTATCACTGTTGATTCCGCTACATCATGCATTCATTTTGATATTTGTATTATAATAATGCATTTTGCTAAATTTTAAACATGTTCTTCTAGTTACTCTGTAGGCTTTTGTGATGGTAATAACATTCAGATGCAGTCCAGAGACGTCCGTTTTCAAGATTCAACTTTATTGTACCCCACAAGGAATTTGGAGTAGATTTCCTGCTTAAACCACCAAAAACAAAGTCTGCGCATACTTTGAGTTCCTTTCCACACTGTGTTCAAACAAGAGCAACCCAAGGCATTTTCACAAGGTTACTGTTTCCCTCCAAATGTGGCAAGCGGAATAATTATAGGACTATTCTCACAGCTTTATCCATTCAAAGTCAACCATTTTAGTGAATGTCACGATGAGATGAGATAACAGTGTCGTGCTAATTTTGTCATGCCAAATGACTGCCAAAAGCAGAGTTTCAAAAGGTAATATGTGATGGCAACCTGTCTTAATCGGTTTGATTTTAGCAGTTTAGCAGCTCAAAATATTACCTGATTGTGGCATAATAGCTTGTATGTGATCATATTACATTTCTGCAGTTTCTTTCCTTTGCCAGAACTGTGATCATGCAGAAGCAAAGAACACGCTGGTACCATGGTGTGGTGAGATGTAATACTGTAAAGCACCAGCACATTG